GCCTACAAGCAATCTTTTTAATGTGTGATTTATCCCTTCATCCCTTTGACCCATGCCCCTCAGCACAATAATAAATATAATCGTCCTAGCAATGCAACAGCAAACAAATAAAAAACCCGGATCCAATAACAATTCTGTGTCTGCTGCCTCAAATAATTACTTCATACCACCAAAGGAAATGATCACACCAGGTTTTAAGAGAATTCTTTGTGTTTTCCTTACAGACACCTTTGAAAAATACATCACTCTACAAATATCTACTCAAAAATAATGTCCTAGAGAAACAAGTTTTCTGTAATTTCTTCTCCCTTTTTTTTTTTAGTAAGGACAAGAGGGTCCTTGCTGCAAAGAATTCTTCTGATTCTGTCGCTTTATCTATGTCAGTTAAAGCTACAAATTGGATTTATTTATAAAGATATATGGCTATGTAAAAGATAAAATCACAGATGTAGCATTTCAGGTGGCTGATTTGGTCACCCAAACCAGAATGTCCTCACTGAAGTAATAAAAAGCAAGAGCACAATGAACATGAACAGTAACTATAGCTGTTTGCATAGATAGATCCTTAAATAAGGGACAGAAGGAAGAGATTCAGTATTAGAAATGCATAAGCAATGGCCTTACTTCTAATTACACTGTTCACAAAAGCAAAAGGGTGGAGCTTTTAAGAATGCTCTCCTCCAGTTATGTCTTTGTTCATAAGCCTTCAACATGAGGTTTGTAGACCTGCTATCTCAACAGTTACATTCAAAAACAAGGCCAACGAACATGATACACATTGAAACTTACACTGTAAATCTTTTAGATTTTGCAAGAAATTAACAGATATATGCAACCTGCTTACAAAAGATAAAATGAAGAATTCCAACAGATTGGCAGGGATACAATCAAGACAAATCTACTAGAATACTGCTTTTTGTCAACATTAACTGGTTTTCTGAAAAGAACAAAAAGGTGTGCATGTGATTAGCTGCGGAGAAGATTCATCTTCGTAGGCTTTACAACTGCATCTGACAGATGATGAGGTCAAAATTCAGTCAATAAGAGGATTCTTACCAGTATTGTAATTCCTTGTTCTTTGCACAGCATGGCTATTGCACCTAGGATAACACTCACCAGCACCCAGAACATAGAAAAATTATGTCCTTCCTTATCTGTCAAAATAAAGCATGCCATGACATTAGGTTTATACATTTAAAGGTAAAGTTAGAAATCTAAATTAAAATTAGAATTTTAAAAACATACAGCTTTTAATCTCACAATCTTTTCTGTCAGTCAAGATCTGGATACACAGACTTAAAAAGCACAGGGCATCTCCTGCAATATGCTGGCATTGTCCCTTCATTGCAGTCATTTTCTATTCTGAGAGACATTAGAAATCTCCCTGTTTGCTAGACATTTTAGCCAGACTAATTAGAATGGCAGAAGCTTCACATAGTTTCCACAATTCATCATCTGAAAAGGTTAATTCCCAATATTTAGACACATTTATCATCCTTAGCTAGAGCTCTATCATTACTGTCCACTCTCTTCCAAGCTACCACAAGAACAAGAAATTCTTTCTAATGGTTACACATGAAGTGTCACACACGAACTGTCACACATACAAACTGTTTTAACTGTAGTCTAAGCTACAAAGGCACAATGAGCTGCTTCTCCAGGGCTGCTGCATTTAGCAAGTACCTCGTGTCATTTCATTAGCACTGCAATGGAATGCCATGGAGCTCAAAAATTTCAGCATCTGAGCAGAGAAGCAGTTAGTTCTTGCACTCAGGAAGCAGTTTTACAGCAGGGTGAGGAACTCGGGTTAAGAGATCAAGAGTAACTACAGCTTCTACTCAAAGAAAGAGTCTTTAAAGACAGCACCATGTAGCTGATTTTGGGTACTACAAGCAGACATTTCTGAGATTAATATAACAATAAGCCCTACTTCAGCCAAGGTAGTATCACACACAGAGTACATGGGTACTTCACATAAAAACGTATCTGTCACAACCTCTACTTCACAGGTGCAAGCAACAGAGGGAAGCACTCAGCTCATTCAGAGGCAGTTTCTTGATTCAAGCAACATGGGCTCTACAGGCATCACAAGAATCAATCTTTGACTTGGCACGTGAAAAAACAAAGTTGAACTCTACATTCATTGACTGAATCCCTTTCTTACTTCCCTTGATCTCTAGAGCAGTTCTTCCCTACTGCTAATGCAGGTTTGACCTCAGTACTTAAACAGAACTGCAATAATGGTCTATGGAAAGGGTAAATGGCAGAATTAAGATTAATTTCACCAGAAGTACGCACCTACATCAAAGCTAGTATACTAGACTTCCTTTCTAACTGGTTGAGAGAAGGGGACACCTTTAGGGATTAAGTTACCTAATTAAATGCAGTTGTCAACCTTTCAGAGAAGTAGCTTGCTCTCTTCACTGATTATAAAGGGAAACTAGTATACGAGCTCAGATGTTATTGGGTCAGATATAAACCATAACAAGTGTGAAAAGGATCTGCTGACATTGGCCTCCTCTCTCATTTTGAAGCAGACTACCTCTTTTGTGGCAGAGAGCAGAAGTTTTCATAAAAATACATGGAAGAACAGTTTTTGAAGTTGCTTCTAGCACTCCTTTCTTACCTAAGACTTAAAGCTTCAACAGAGTGAATATTAAGATGTTTGAGATTCATCATTGCAATACCTAGGCATTTGTTCCTTCTCCCTCCACTCCAAATTATGTCCTCACAGGTGAGGTAAGACTTAACATCTGAGGTACAGATGTTATAAAGTTAAAAGAAAGCGTTCTGAAGGAAAGAAGTCATACACATCTCAACAATACCAAAACAAAACATGGAAATACAAAATACATAATGACTAAACTAAAGAAACATTGCAACTAAAAAAAAAAAATGCAATGAGGAAACTCCAACTCACATCAATTATACAGAACAACAACTGAGGGTTGCAATTCATGGAGGAAAGGGCTTCCAAATTCATTCTAAGAATATTGCTAAGAATAAAATGAATCTGTCCTAAATGCATCCCTTGAAGGAGCTCTTCAACTCTTCAGGCTCTGCAATACAACAGACTGTTCAGCCAGTTCTTGAAATTCACTTTTTTTTTTTTTAATGTAGAAACAAACTAGTTGAGAAAATGCAAAGATGGAAGGCAAAGTAATTGACTATGTTCACAAAATGACAACCACTCAGTCTGGTTGTAAGTGTAAAAGGGAGAACAGTGAACAAAGCCAATGGACTTCACTGAGTTTACTGAAGCATACTTTCTTCAACTGAGAGATTTCTTCTTCCCAGAATCAAATTCTGGCGGAAAGAAGTCAGGACAGCTAAGCACTTCTCAGAGAAGGAGTATTCAGTACACAAACTATCTTTAACATGGAAGATAGTGGGAAGTATATATAGTAAGAGACCAGCTGGTGATTCACAAATGCTTTGATGATTCAAAACATAAGAAGTAATAGGAAAAAAGAAACTAGGTGAAATTATCAAGTACAACAGCAGCACACTCATACAGAAACAAACTCAGAAAGGTCACATCACAAAATGAGAAAAGGTATGTATGTAAAGAACAAACCCCACAATTCCATAGATATATTGGTAAGAAGAGCAGCAAGGAAGGAGTTATTCCAATACTCAGTGGGAAAGAAAATGGACAATGCCAAGAAAACAGAAGTGTTCTGTGACTTTTTGCTTCATTTTTTCACAAAGAGGTCAGCTACAATCAGATGGCAAGCACAACACCAGCAGAAAGGGCGCAAGAACAAAAGCAAAAATAGTGAACTACAAGCCACCGAATTTATAGAAGTTAATGTTTTAAATTACGATTCATTAAACTTACTCCAACAGGTGCTATACAACCCAGAGTAATCTCAACTGCTACGCCTGAGAAATCATGAAAAACACATGAGAATCCAGAAGCTTGAAATAAAACAAAACAATACCTACATGCCTACTTTTAAAGAGGAAAAGAGATACAAAAGGATAAGCTAAAGAAACAAAGCTAAGCTGACTGGTCAAAATTACCCAGAAAAAAACCCACTTAAGACGAAAAATTTTCTAGGTGACCCTCTAAAACATAAAAGGATATGATTAATTAATTGCCAAAGACATATTTTAGCTATTTATATCAAACTAAGTACAATTTCTGACTTGGACAGGAAAAAAAAAGGGCATTCCTGATGAAAGCAAACCTGTAAACATCCTATACCTTGACTTCACGAAGGCATGAAAATACCACTGGAGACAGCATGAAATACACCAGAAAAAATATGGGCTGCATGTAATTATTATAGAATGGATAAAAATAACAGCTGGAAAACTACACTAAGAGTCTAGCTCATTGTGAAAATGTAAAGATACATTCTGGATTGAGTCTTTCGTTCATCTGGCTCTAATAGATACTTTTAAAAATTTGGATGATGGAATAAGGAATATGCTGATTAAGTCCAGAGGTGCTGCCAGGCTGCAATGGCCAGGAAGCACATTAAGGAGACGTCAGAATTCCATTGACAAACTGGAGAAATGGTCTAGTGAAAAAAACCTGAATGTCATTCAATAGGCACACATTCAAAGTTGTGCAGAAACAGACTTGTCTTCTTGTGAATGTCCCAGTCTCAGATGCCAGAAATGTCTCAGCATGTCAAGCGTAGCCAAGCTTAAGTATGGACTCTCAAAGATGGCAAAAGCACCCAGCAAAAGAGAAATAATGAGGGACCTGTAATGAGGATCTTATGGGAGACAGTGTCAAAGGCCTGGACTTTAGTAAGGCCTTTGACACAGTCTCCCATAAGATCCTCACAGAGAAGCTGTTGATGTACAGGCTGGATGTGCAGACAGTGAGGTGGATTGAAAACTGGGTGAATGGCCAGGCCCAGAGGATGGTGATCAGCGGCACAAAGTCTAATTGGAGGTCAGTAACTATCAGTGTACCCCAGGGGTCAATACTGGGTCCAATCCTGTTCAACTCCTTCATTAATGACCTGGATGATTAGGCAGAGTGCACCCTCAGCAAGATTGCAGATGTCATAAAACTGGGAGGAGTGACTTATACGCCAGAGGGTCATGCTGCCATCCAGAGGGACCTAAACAGGCTGGAGAAATGGGATGACAGGAACCTCATCGAGTTCAACAAGGAGGACTGCAAAATCCTGCACCTGGGGAGGAACAAGCCCAGGCGCAGTACATGCTGGGGGCCACCCAGCTGGAAGGCAGCTTGGCAGAAAAGCACCTGAGGGTCCTGGTGCACACCAAGTTGAACATAAGCCAGCAATGTGCCCTT